GTTGACCAGGATGGTCTCGATCTCTTGACCTCGTGATCCACCCGCCTTGGCCTCCCAAAGTGCTGGGATTACAGGCTTGAGCCACCGCGCCCGGCCCTAACTGATACTTTTATAATAAAGTTTTTAAGAAGGTATTTTGTGTATATTTATTTTAGAGACAAGGTCCCTGTTGCTGAGGCTGAAGTGCAATGACACAGTCATAGCTCACTCAAGCCTTGAACTTAGGTGTTCAAGTGATCCTCCCACCTCATCCTCCCAAGTAGCTAGAACTACACGCATGTGCCACCATGCCCAGCTAATTTTTAAAAGTTTTGTAGAGATGGAGTCTCACTATGTTGCCTAGGCTGGTCTTGAACTCCTTGCCTCAAGTGATCCCCCTGTCTTGGCCTCCAAAAGCACTGAGATTACAGGCATGGGCCACCATGCCCAGTCTTATGAATAAATGTATCTTGAAATACTTGGCAGGTCCTCCTTAAACACAGAAGACAACTTAAAACAATTGATGAGGCCGGGCGTAGTGACTCATGCCTATAATCCAAGCACTTTGGAGGCCAAGGCGGGCGGACCACCTGAGGTTAGGAGTTCAAGACCAGCCTGACCAACATGGTGAAACCCCATTTAAAAAAAAAAAAAAAAAAAAAATTGATGAAACAAATTTAAAAATACCTGAACTGCTTAAGAATTCGAGCAAAGATTTAAAAAAATATAAAAAATTAAAAAATTAAAAATAAAAAGAATTCAAGCAAAGACAAGTGAGGGGCTGGTCAGATTCAAATTATCTTTCACAAGCAAAGAGTAGTCCAACTGGTTTCCTCTTGGCCAGGCCTGTTTACTGACTGTGAGCTAATGATCATGTAAGAGCTAATGATCAGGGGTCCTAAGAGGGCTCTCTAAAAGATACATCTGGGCAATCTGTGAGTAACCACTAGAAAAAAAGAAGTTTCTGCATTCTATGTCTGGGACATCGACTGCAGTTCATTTAGTTTTAATTTCCTTTCTGAAGTACTCTTCCCTTGCCCATTTTATGTATTTTTGACTATAGCATTTTGAGAGGAACACAATACTTTGCTTTATACACAATTCAAGTCTCTACAAGAAAACCTTTCTAATCCTTGTTGAAAATATTAGGAACATGTCTCACCTGCTCAGATTGTGTCAGCTTCATGGCTTCAGAAAGATATGCTGTTTAAAAAAAAAGACATGTTAATATGTGTCATCATTTTGTAATTAACAGGTAAAAGGAAGAGTTTTAATAGTCCTCATATGACAAAGAAAACCAGTCTAATAAATAATTCTGCTATAACTGGGGATTTTTTTAAAAAAAGCATTTTTTCCCCAAAAAGGTGTCAGTGGCAATAAAATGAAAAATTCCCTACCCATTCTTGAAGGTTTTGTTATTTAAAACTCCTGTAGATTTTATAATTCAGAAACTGAAGATGGCCTAATGAGAAAAATAGGTTTACGGAAGATTAAAATCAAACAAGAACCTATCAAAACCCTATTACTCATTGTACTCACAAAAATATCATGAGATTATCAATGACTTTGTATCCATCTGAATACCTGGAACCTATCATTTTGGACTCCTATAGAATCACTTTTTTTTTTTTTTTTTTTTTTTTTTTTTTTTTTTTT